CTGCCTTCTTCGCAAGTCTCTTGATGCCTTTCTTTGCTCTCTCACACACAATAACCCTCCAATGCCACAACTTTTGCTTATGTTCTCCCTCTCTAGCTTCTTTTTCCCGCAATTTGCTGGACCTCCTGCTTGCAATACTTTCATATCTCTCGTGTTAATGCTTTCTACGCCTTTTTTCTCCTTTTCACAACCAAGCCTCTATGACGCCTGATCCCGTGCTCCCACTTATCATTTTCCTCTCTCTCATCTATTACCTCTCATGACTCTCATCCTCTTCTTCTGTATATCTTTCTCACACCGATAGAACCTCCCTTTCTCCCAATTTAATTTACTCGGCTCGCATTCTTTGTCTCGCCCACAGTTGACTTCACTCATATCACAAGCTCCTTGATTTTGCTGATTGACTTCCCTTTGTCTAGCAACACTTGTTGTTCAACCTTTTCATATTGTTTCATACTAGGCAATCTCCTCACATGCGAATACATGGATAAAAAATGTGAAGAACTGTTGACCTTTGATCTGGTTAATTTGAAGAACAATTGATCTTTGATCCAATAGTTTTGAAGAATAGCTGATATTCAATCCAATTAGTTTAAAAAATGCGCCATTACTTTTTGATTGATATGACTAAAATTTTGATGGCATTCTTATTGTCGATCTTTGATTAACCTAAGGTTGAGGAATTTTGTGTTGTTGATCTTTGATTTATCTTTGAATCGGGTCTAGGGAGATGAATGCTCGTTGTGGACCCATATACTTGGCCAAATCCTAGCAGCTGTTTAATTGCCATTTGGTAGTGGTGGTTATGATTGTGATGGGGTTTTAATCTTGGTGACGTACCCAAAAAGTCAGATTTTGACGTCAGTGTTTAAACCACATGTGAAGAGGAAAATATATTGATGGAAATACTTTTGCTTAGAACTTGCATTGAATATTTTAAATAGATTTTGTATAAGAAAGAAAAAAAATAAAGAATATTTTCTATCCTCTTAATTGGAAGAGTGTGCCATTTATGTTCGATTCAACCCTAACTTCGAAGGCTTCATTTTGTTGAACTTCAATCCGATTGGAGCTTAAGGACCATCATGTCATTGTGCTTCAATTTAGAGGAAGTTATATCTCCCTATATTTATTTTTTATTCGGTTTCAAGAAGATGAATGCTCGTCTTCTGCAACCATGCTTAATCAAAGCATGTTGGTAACTTTGTTGCCATTAGGTAGTGATGGTTATGATTTTTGCATGGCTTTAGCATTTTTGATATACCCAAGTTTTCTAACTAGAGGTAAATAGGGTATTGTCTTCATCATTGAAATCATGAATGAGAAGCGAAGCATGCCAATAAGCTACATTTGCTCATGACTTATATTAGCCTAAAAGAAAGAAATAATAAAAAAAAGTATATATTTGGATTATGAAATAATAATCCAAATATATTTGGATTAGAATAAGATATTCAACAAAGGCGGATGAAATATTTTTATAAACTCTTCAATGAAGATCATGAGAATGTGATCGACTTTAGTGACCTTAGCACCCTAAATGAAAATAAAGAGGCTTTAGATAAAATAAAGTGTGAAAAAGCTGTTGGACCTGTTGATAGCCCATTAAAGGCGTGGAAATGCTTAGGCGAAAAAGGAATTTCTTGGCTTACTAAACTTTTTAATATTATTTTGAAGACTAAAAAGATGCTAGATGAGTGGAGAATGAGTATGTTGATTCCTATTTTTAAGAATAAAGGTGATGCACAAGATTGTGTGAATTATAAAGGAATTATGTTAATGTGTTATACTCTAAAACTATGAGAGAGAGTTATAGTGCATAGGTTGCGGCGTGATATTAACGTTTCTCAAAATCAATTTGGATTCGTGCCGGGTAGGACTGCTATGGAAGCTATACATTTATTGAGAGGTTTGATGGAGAATTATAGAGAGAATAAGGAGGGTCGACATATGATATTTATTGATTTTGAGAAAGCATATGATAAAGTTCCAAGAGAAGTGCTATATAGAGTTCTATAATATTGCCTATATTTAAGTCATTAAAGATATATATGCATGAGCTATTATAGTCATGGATCAACCTTAAGCCCATATCTTTTTGCTTTAGTCATGGATGTTCTTACTAGACATTTGCAAGAGGTTGTACCCTGATGTATGCTTTTTGCTGATGATATTCTTCTTGTTGATAAGACTAGAGAGGGAATTGAAGGTAAACTTGAATTATGGAGGTCAACCTTAGAGTCTAAAGGCTTTCGTTTGAGTAGATCTAAAACTGAATATATGGAATGTAATTTTAGTAATAATAGTTCTAGTGGAGAGATTGTGACTTTGGGTGATCAAGTCATTAATAAGAGTACACATCTTAGATATCTTGGATTTATTGTTCAGAGTGATTGTGAAATAGATGGGGATATTATTAGTAGAATTCAAGTTGGATGGTTGAAGTGGAGGAATGCATCGGGCTTGTCGTGTGATAGAAAAGTCATCCTCAAACTTAAGGGAAAATTCTATAAGATGGTGGTTAGAGTTGTAATGCTTTATGGTGCAGAATGTTGGCCTTTAAAAGAGAAGCATAATATTAAGTTAAGTGTTGCAGAGATGAGGATGCTCATGTGGATGAGTGGCTTTACTCTTCGAGACAGAATACGAAATGAGCTTATACGTGAAAGGTTGGAGTAGTTCCTGTGGAAGATAAGATTAGAGAGAGTCGCCTTAGATAGTTTGGTCACACATAAAACGTCGGTCTTCCGATGACCCGGTTAGGAAAGTTGATGTATTAGATTTGACTTATGTTAAGAAGGGTAGAAGTAGATCTAAAAAGACTTGGTTAGAAAATATTAGAAATGATCTTTCTTTATTAGATTTAAATGAGAATTTAACTTTTAATAGGGCACAATGGAGAAAAAAAATTCATGTAGCCGACCCCATAGTGAGATAAAGGCTTGATGTTGTTGTTGTATATTTGGATTATGAAAATGCTATAGTAATAATAATGATATTTGAATTTGGTGGATTCCAACATGGATTTATGGTCAACTATGGTCAATTATGGTCAACTTTAAGACAACTTAATTATGTTGTCATGTAAAACAAGCAAACTTTTTAAATATATGTTCGGCCACCTCAAAGATAATTAAGGGCCAAAGCGCTAATATGGACCTCACTAACATATATAAGCAACACATATACACCAATTATCTGTTGGCACATTGATAACCATGCAACTATATTAAAAAGTGTGCTGACATGTTTATTATTTTCAAATGATCTTAAATCTATACCAAGGTTTTCAATAGATACCTATGTAACCCAAATGATCATAAATCTCCTTTGAACTTGTCTTCGAAGTTATGATATCAACCCAGTTAATCAAGTGAATAAGCCATGGTCTCTTGTTTAATCTTGTTTATTCATTGATCTAAGAGTTCTCTGGCTATTCATCTCAATATGTACATTAAAATACACAAAACTTAAAAATAATTAAATTCCAATAAATTGACTAGCTTTACCTATAAAGTAAGGCTATAAGACCCATTATTGGGCTTTCCATATCCTTTAGATTATAAGTCCCACTTCCAATTGCTGCAAAGCCCCTATCCATATTAATTGGGTCAACACAAAGCCAACAAACCCATTCAATCAAAACTTGGGCCTTCAATGTATGTAAGCATCACCCCAAATTAAACTCGAGTCCGCCCTTATGTTAATATGCTCATCAATTAAATTAAGCTCACTAATTAAGCCTCGTGTATGTCTTAGACATTTTTCGTTGAACTGGACTAAAACTTGTGAATAACTGATGATCATATCATACCTTTGAGCTCTTTTCATTTATGTCCAGGAATCCACAAATGATTATATTTTATGCCTTGAACTATTTAGTGAAACTGGTAAAACCATTATTCTCCAAGTAAATGTGCTAGCACTAATATTGAAAGTAAATATTCGACACTTATATTTTCACTTTGGTATTCTTGGGACACTTGATTGTAGGCAACCAGTGGTTTCTAATTTTGCTCCCTATATATAAGGCTAAAAGCCCCCTGATATTATTAGACTGGATCTGTTGATACTTGGGATAATGAAATTATGGATTTTGGTCGGATCTATCTCCATTACCTCAAACATTCTGCATCAATTAACTTGAATCCAAAATATTGAACCCAATTTTAAATATAAGCTTAAGCAACCTCCTTAATTGAGAGTGCTCTCCCGTGAGTGAGAGGAGTAATTAAATATGAGGGCTTACTCCTATAGGATGGTAAAACCTAACACAATATTATGGGAGAAAAATATGTGAGAAATCTGATTTTTGAAAATTACTTTGATTTGCTCATTATGTTTATTTGTGTCCAATTCTTATTGAAATTCTTGAATATTTTTTATTATTCCATTATCAATTGGGTTTACATTCTAAAATTGCCTATTTTCATTTAAAAAACGTGGTTTGTTAAATTAATTGATAACTTGTGATTTGCAAATCCTCAAAATTTTCTTACATGGTGACATCTACACATTGTTTGTTACATCATGAAATCCCTAAAGTCAAGTTGTCCTGCCTCATTATATTAGCTATTCTGCTTAATTTTGGCATTGTCACATGAGCTTATGTTTGTTAAATGCTAATATGCTTTTATCTTGTTGGGAATCAGAATTATGGTTGGGCAATGTGCTCATTTTTTTATTGGTTCTGCTATTTTAGTGTATAAAATTCTTATATAAGCAAACTTTTGACTTCATGCCTAACTGCGCTTTCAATGCTTTGTGCTCAAGCAGTAGTTTAGCAAGAAGGCTCGGATTTGAAGCCTGTTAGCTTCGTTTATTATTCATTATATGGAACTTTTAAAAGGAAGAAAATGGTCCATTGTGTTGTCTAGATTATTATCTTCTCTTTTTGTAATTCATCCTGATTTATATGATTGTTTTAATGTTTTCCTCAACCAACGTTTATATTAACATTTTCATTCATTTTTCATTGATCCTTTCAATACTTTATTCAGAAGCAAGTGTATCTGAATCTGAAGATGATAATGAAAGGCAAGATGCTGCAGAAGAAGAGACTGAGGATGAGGATAATACCTTTTTTGACACACAAGATTTCCTCTCATCAAGTTCTTTTAAGAGCAGTGGGTCTGACTTCCTTAGATCTGAAATTGATTCTTCTGATGAAGAAGAACATTTTGGTATTGCTGCAATCGATGGTCATGATCCCTCTGCGAGTTCTATAGGATCTAGTTATCCATTTGTTAGGAGACGAAGAAAGCTGCCTGATCCAGTTGAGAAAGAGAAAGGTGTCAGCCTTTGGTCGATGATTAAAGACAACATAGGGAAGGATCTAACTAAAGTTTGCCTTCCTGTCTACTTCAATGAGCCCCTCTCATCATTGCAGAAATGTTTTGAGGATCTTGAATATTCCTATCTACTTGACCAGGCTTATGAATGGGGTAAAAAGGTATGTTTTCAGTCGGGTCTCATTTTCAGTGCTTGAAATTTAATCCTCCATGCTAGGACAGTTTTTACTCATGCCTTTCAGTGTTTGATTGAATGCCACTCTTTGCCTGTGCTTGGTACAGGAAAATATTTAATTTTTTTTTCATTAACTATATTTTCTGAGAATTATCTGCGTCAGCATGTGCCTATTCTGGAAGTAGATGAATATATCCTTCAATGCCTTCTATGTGTTTGCAAAAACTAGTAGACTTTCATATATGCAATCTAGTAGTACGCTTCTAGTCAAGTTCTTTCACTGGGGCAAAGTGGGCAAGCTTATTCAGATATTGAAGACCTTAACTCATATCCTTATCATTTAGTCAACTATCATGTCGATCTTAATATTTGAGCATTATTAGTAATGATAATTTATTTGAATGAGTTGCTACAATCTACGTAAAACAGATAATCCAACTCTGTGTAGCCTTCCTCATCTTAATGTTTCATAGGGTTTGTTTACATTATTAGTAGAATCCTATGGGTTTATGCTTGCTTACATGTAACAATTGACTCTTGCTAGATGCATTCCTAGTATCTAGCAGAGATGAAATGGGAGACAGTAGATGCAAGGATTGACATTTATATGACCTGATTTTGGACTCTAGGTTGTTTCACATTTATCAAAAAGTCAGAAAAAAGTCTGTTTCAATCTCAATTGCAATGAAAGCACAAAAGATCCATATTTGACATGTCCGTGCGTGTTCATTTCTTTGTGACACTGAAGCAAATCAATTCGTTATTTTATGTATACCATGGACATGCTGGGAAACTAGTGAGAATTATCATCTTTATAAGAATGTGGTTACTAGGCTCCATAGTCTGTGGCAAGATCTAAGAATATGTTTTGATCAGATTTTCATCGCTGTCATACTTAAAGTGATTTCTTCTCTGTTTGAATATCTCTACTTCATTCTCAATGTTATCTTACACGCTTCCTTGAATTTGCTTTCTCCCTGATAATAAATTCTGCTATTTTTGCTTTATCTCACTATTAAAAGCTTAGTGTCTTTGATTATCTCCCTTTCCTTAAAACTTGGGACCTTGTCCTTTTTATCATCTTTGATTTATATTTGTTTGGTTTATTTGTTCCTATTGGAAAATCAATTCAAAGTAAATATTTTAACTGGACAAGATAAAGAAAAAGAAGACCCATTTTTTTTTTTAAATTTAACTTTTTGCATGTTTGCAACTTTTAATCTCCATATCTGTGATAGGAAATACTTGTATTTATAAGTAATCCTAGCGCAAATCAGTAATCAACAGCAATTTTCTTGCTGTCCACAGCAGAAAAACAGCCACCAAAGAGAAGAAAATAGGGAAATTTCACTAAAGATCTGAGAGAAAACGAAGCAAGAACTTGTATTCCAATAGTAGATGCAATACAACAAAGAAAGATACACTTTTCCTTCAATTCGAGAGGAAGGAATTACTCTCCAACAATCTCCGGCAACGCCAAGAGCCCAAACAAGAAAACCTAGAAGACGAATCCTTTTTCAAAATCAAGATGAAAACCTAATTCCCTCATAACTCCCTCTTAATACAATCTAATTCAAATTAAACGCAAAAGGACTACTCTACCCTTCCTTCTCCCTCCAAAAATACTTAATCCAAGTTTGAATTGCACGTGGACCCCACTCCCTGGCTCCCTCTCTCTTCCGCCTGGCGTGGTGTCCGTCTTCGGTAAAACTGGACCGGCTGGGCCGGTCCAGGATGAGCCGGTCCAAGCTGGACCGGCGTAACAATCTGCTCCACTATGTAACTACATCCGCAATGATGAAGTTGTCATTTAAAAGACGTGTCATCTCGCGAGTTTTTTCCAAAATGCATCATTTAAAGCAAAAAAAAATCACTTAATCGTCCTTTGTTTTGCAAAACAGACTGCAAATGTGTCTAGAATGTCAAAAATATCTAGGGTAGACACTCATATTGCCATATTAATAGCGCGAAGTCGAAACACAAAATTTGCTCATGCTTGGGACAATGACGTGAAATTTGAAATATATGTAGAACGAGAAATTGCCTGAGAATCTAATTCAAATATTTATTTATCTTTTTTTATTTTATTTTATTAAAAATCTTAAAAAATCCAATTTAAATTGTCTTGTGTCCTCGTACCTGTGAATCCCGTTGTAGTGTCACATGTAATGTCCTATCTCTATTGCTTGGTCACTCTCTTAATTGCTCTTTCTAGATCTATTTTTCATATGACGAAATTTGATTTGGATTTGTGTGGTTTATTTGTTCTTAGTGGATAATCAATTCAAACTTAAGCTTTTAACTGAACAAGGTTAAGAAAAGGAAAACTATAATTTTTTTCTTAAATTTGACTTTTTGAATTCATGTTTGTTATTGCGGACCTCCATTTTTTGCTCCGCTATGCAACTCAGTTGGCAATCATGAAATCATTGGTTGACATCTGCGACATCATGAGATTTTTTTCTGGAATGCATTATCTAAAGCAAAAATTATTCAATCGTTGCTTGTCTAGCAAAACAGACTACTCTGATGCATTAGAAGCATAAAAAATCATCTCGTCTTGCAAAAAAGGCTGCTCTGATGCATTCGAAACATAAAAAACATCTAGGGTAGACACCTATATTTTGCCATACTAATTGCGTGAACGCAAAACTTAAAATTTGCTCATACACGTGGTTGACAAGAAATTATTTGAAAATTTAATTCAAATATTTATTTATCTTTTTGTTTGATTTGATCTAATTTAATTAAAAAATATTTTTTAAAAAATACATATCAAATTGCCTCATATCCCCATACTCGTGAATTTCGCTGTAGCATGTAATGTCCTATCTTTGTTGCTCGCTCATTCTTTCAATCACTCTCCCTAGATCCATCTCCTCCCCGGCCTCTAGCAGATAATCAATTCAAAGTTAATCTTTCCACTAAAGAAGGGTAAGTGAAGGAAAACTGTACCATTTTTTTTTAAGTTGACTTTTTGAATTCATGTTTTTTACATTTGACATCCATGTCTACTCTACTATGCAACTCAATTAGCAGTGACGAGCTATTAATCAACGGATGCGACATTGTGGAAACTTGTTCTAAATGCATCGTCTTAAAAAATCACTTAATTTTCACTTGTTTCACAAAACAGACTGTGCAATACGTTTTGAATGCCAAAATATATAGGGTAGACACCCATATTGGTCTTATTTATTAACTGCGCGAAGGTGAAACAAAAAATTTCCCTCGCATGAGATGAAACGAAGTACGAGATGCACATGCAATAAAAAATTGCCTGAGACTCTAATTCAAATAGTTATTTATCTTTTAGTTTATTTGATTTGATTTAGGGGCTGTTTGGAAACAATATTAATAGGATTTATGCGGGATTTGAGCAAGATTTATGCTAAATCTTGCCAATCTGGATTTGAGCGCCTAGTAAATCTCACGGTAGAATAAATCCTCTGTTTCCCTCGTTTTGTTGTAAATCTCGATTTTACTAAATCCTGTAATTCGGCGGATTTATGGAATTTGGCCGAAGAAAAAGGGATAAAGATGGCTACCTTTGCAGTGAGGGAGCTCTCAACATGACTTTTGATCAGACGTTGTCGAAGGAGGTGAAGAAGCTTCTTTAGTGACTCTTTCAATGCACTTCTTCACGCAAAGCACGTGAGGTTGATGTAGGCATGATGAAATGGCGATGAGGAAAAGCAACAATGACAAAGAAATGGAGAAGATGAAAAGCAAACCCTAGATTAATTAAATAATTAATAATTAACAATCAAAATAAATAGTTCAATTAATATAATTTCAAATAAAAATAATTATTATATAACATCATAAATAATAATTAAATAATGTATTAGTAGTAGAATGTTTATTTGATTAATGAGATAATTAATAATATAATTAATAATTAAAATTAATTAACTAATAATTTAAAAATTAATTAAATTGTTATTAGGAGTATTGGTTAAATAATTAATTATTCCAAAAAATTAACTAATTAATTAGATAATTATTAATAAAATTAGATATCAAATATTTATTAAATTAACACCTAAATATTTAATTTGATAAATAGTACTATAATTAGTAATTAAATTATTTATCTTTATAAGCTCGGGTTCGGCAGTGGGCGATGGTGCGGGCTCGCGGGGCAGCAGCGCGGGGCAGCGCGGGGTAGCGGGGCAGCAGCGCGGGGCAGCGGGAAATTCAATTTTTTTTAAACTAAACGGGTTTTCGGGTCAGCCCCCAATCTGTGAACCCGAACCCGACCTGTTTTTCAAACGGGTCGGGTCCGGATCGGGTTTTCGTGTCGTGTCAAATATTGACACCCCTAATCCTATCTCTGTCGCTCGGTCATTCTTTTAATCACTCTCTCTAGATTTATCTCTCACACCCTACCATCCCCTCTTGCACAAGTTCTAGCAGATCTAATTCTCCTCCTCCTCTGTTAATACCCAGCTCCCGAAACCCTCAATGGCAGAGAAGCGAGAAATTACGATGGGTCTTGCAAGAGAAGTGTCAACAGTGCCAGTGGCGTGTAAGGAGTGAGGTAGTTGCGACAACTTGTTGGAGAAGGTATCAATAGGTCCAACGATGATGTGTGATTGACAAGGTAGTCAAGGCCCGAGTTTGTTGAGGGAGGACATCCTCTCTGTGAAAGGACGTTGTGGAGAAACTTAACAAAGTTTTTGCTGATGTTGGTAATTTCCTTCTTCTTTTAGAAAGCACAAAGCTGTAGTTGTGTGAGTTGCACAAAACTTGTGAAACAGGATCCTTGCCTAAAAATGATCAGTTGGCAAGGAGAGTTTTTTATGTAATGGTCGAGGGAGCCATCAAATGAACGTTAAATTCATGTTAATAGCACTAATTTGTACAGTTTTTCTTCGCTATTTGTAATGGGCCTTGGTGACACACGGAATATTACTCTTTTGCAACGTGTCTATGAAGATGAAATGGCATGGAGTTGATCTTTAAATGTGGGTTTGTGTCCAAGAACTTTGAGTAATTTTGCATATGTTGGAATCTCTCAGAATGAAGGGGGAGCTGATTTGGAGTCACTTGATACAAAAATATCTAGTATGAGCCAATGTTTAAAATTGCGTATTCGGGTATTGAGGCGTTTTTCATTCGTGACGCGAGGTGTAAGCCTCAAGGTGTTTTGAGGCGTAAGTCTCAAAGTCAAAAGATTGCGTAAACATAAAATGATAATTTTTTTTATATACTAATGAGTGAATAATATAAAACATAAAAAAGCATAAGATATGAAGTGAAATCAAAATATCTCAATAATAAGACAACATGAAATATAGTTAAACTCAAAATTCTATCTTTCCCAAATCCCACTATTCTTTTCATTAACATATAATTCCAATTTCCAAAAACAAATAGCAATGACATATCACATAAGAACTCATAAGTCATCAACACTGTCATCACTAAGGGGTTCTTCATTTGAATCATCATTATGATGAACTGCTCTCTCCCCTTCCTCTCCTATAGAGTCCAATGTCGGGCATCTACTTCAAGATTTATGTAAGTTTTAATATATATAGCGAGAGGCGTAAGACTCATGCCAGTGAGGCGAGGCGGGCCTCAACCAAGTTGAGGCGCAAGCATCATAAAAAAAAACTCGAGGCGTAAGCATCGAGGCGTTTTTTACTGGAATTGCACAAAGGCGGGCCTCAAGGTGAGCCTCGTATCGCGCAATTTTAAACCATGGTATGAGCTAATGTCCAAAAGGCTTTTAATTTTTTGCTTGATGAAAATTGGGAGGAAGAGGAGAAAAATAAAAGTAAATGGGACAATATGCGCATCTACCTTTGCTGGCAGCCTCCAATCTGCCACCCTCATTCTCCTTCTCTCTTCCAATCTCTCTTTCCCTAGCATCCATTCTCTCCCCTCTGTTTTCTCTCTCTTATTCTCTCTCTCTCTCTCTCTTTATATATATATGCTATTTAAAAAAGAATGAAAAGAACCTAAATAAAGAGAGAAAAAAAGATTATTCTCCTTTGTTGCAAATTCATTGGCTCGCCATTTGAATGCTTCGCGCAAAGGTATAACACAAAACTTCAAAATGATGTACATGTGTCCATTGTTCCAATGCGGCAGAAAATTTGCAAATTTGGTACTCGTGCTTGTTGTTTCAATGTGTTGGGAAAATACTGTGCATTCTTTCATGTAGGTGTTGAAGGCTAATGCATATTTTTTTTAAGCACATCTCACAACATCTATAGGGCCTAATACACCCCCAGACACCTATTCAGGGGAGACCTTGGGAGCATGTTGAAATTTAGATTGAACAAACGCAAAGAACGCTTGAGAGGACTCCTTTTCGAGCGAAAATGCAGCTATAAATGAAAATGATAAATATAAACTTGTTATTTGAATGAGACGTGCACTTGAAATTCAATATATATTGCGATGAATAAAAATAGGATTTGAACTGCAGTTGCCCTTACCTGGGACTTGTAATTAACACAGAAGCTTGCCTGCAAGTAGGAACAGAACATCCTCACTATCTTTAGAACTCTCTCGAATTAAAAAGGAAAAAAAAAACTCCGAAGGACTTTGTGAATTGAGCACAAAATGTGAAAGAAAACTGCAAAAAGGCCTTCATATTTTTAGAAAAAGAATGGATTCTTTGTGGGACCCACCATGTAAAATTACAATCACATACAAATAAAACTTTGATAATGTGAAAAATGTGATTAGGTCCCAAATCGCCTTCTAATCAATCAAATTTTAAATATATACATGCAAGTGAACATAGTGTATTCCATAAAAATCCTACATGAAATGCTGAGCACATTTCAATGACAAAATATTCACACAAACAATTGTATTTGGAAATTTCTAAGTCATGTATATGCCTTACATGACGGTTTTCAACTTAAATACAATGGCTTGAAAGTAGTACAAGTGACTTAAGAAAAATGCATTTGTCTTGATAAGCTTGTAACTACTTAGAGAGGCATGACACAATTCTATAAGTGTGCAAAATGCAAATAAATCATATTAACGCATTAAAAATAGTGAAAGTGCACAGTGCAAATGTATCGAGAAACGTTTAAATGCATCATAAAAATGCATTAAGAAATATATAGTGTGTGTAAATGCATTAACAAGCATGCGAGTGCATTGTGCAAGCCTGTTAAAAATCATGAAAATGCATTGAAAAATACACAAGTGTATTATGTAAGAACATTGAAGAATGTGTAAGTGCATCAAAAAGCATATAAGTGCATACTATAAGCTCATTGAGAAGCGTGTTAGGCATCGTGAAAATACAAACTCCACTTCAAGAAGCATGGAACTGTTCCAAATAGTGTGCAATCATTTTGAAAATTCATAAGCTCTCTTAAAATTAAATGTATTAACCTATAACCATGTTCTCATGTGGTTCGTATTGTCTATGATAGGATTATAATCCCTATCTTTTGAATCAATCCTTGGTGTCCCTAAGATTGGAGTTGGCAGGACTTCTTCTCCTCATAAATCGTTATAGATTAATTAAAAGAAGAGGATTTTTTTAATGAAGCGAGTTTGTAATTGAATGTTCATTTGTAAATTTCACAAAAAAGATTTTGCTTTACATTTGCATAAGACTTTGAAAGGCTATAAGGAAAGTAAGTCTATTTTCAAAATATAAATTCATAATGCCATATTTACAAAACATAACCAACAGTGTTAACTACAAGCCCAATCATCTACAAGCAAGTTAGTAGAGCTGTTAAGGCCAACAAAAGTAACAAAAAAAAAAGCCTTTACCTAATATTGTCCATGCTGACAATAAGTCTCAACTGAAGGGATCTTTATTTTTAAAATACTCCAAATCTCAAAATCAATTTTTTCGGGCTCAAATTTCAACAAAAATATGAAAATATAAAATTTTTGCAATATATAAAAACATCCAAGCAAAATTGATCACTCAAACTTAAAGTAACAATCCATCTACCCTCTGCAACATTTTGTCGATGGTGAAAAACTTAAGATTAACCTCAACTCACAAAGAACCATTTTTTAGTCTAATGTATTTTATGTTTAACTCTCAAAGTATCTCATATCAATAAGGATGTTGCACGTGTTTGTTGACTGGATTATTTCATTGTCAAATTCAACATAGATATATGGTTATAATCAAAGCCCTTTGAGTAATGGTTCCAAAATGACATTATTATATTATGGTCATGACAAAGCCTAAATATTCCCTAGTGGCTATAGTCCCTCGAGTTGTAAATCATATAGTGCACTGGATAATTATCATTTGGTCAGGTTAGGCTAACTAAGTGGACCAAAGACCATGACAACCTGAGATGATGGAATTATGAGATCTTGATCAAGTTCGTCATCATTCTCTTCATTATCTACTTTAAGCTAACAGTAAAAATTTCATTCAATCCTAAAACCAAAATTTGCTGCTATTATGTGTCAAGCACTTAGCATATAAAGACTAGCTTTAATCGAAACTTCTCTCTTTTCATTGGGAGGGGTAATTAATTGTAATGACTTGCTTTTATGGGAAACTTAGAACTAGATGTTACTCCTCACAAAATGAGGGAAAAATCTCTGAATATTGTTTTATCTGCAAGCTAATTTTTCTTCAAAAAATTTCACTCATAACTAACAAACTATCTGTTGGGCATGAATTTTTAGAGCCCTTTACTTACTCTTTTGCAGCTTGCATTTGATTTTAATTCTAGAGCTAGCAATATTTTCAACAACTTCCAATCATTATAGTTATTGGTATATTACCTTTACCCAATTCCTTTTCACATTTTTTTCATATCCCACATTATTAGAAGCTTTCTACTCTCAGTCGTACATGTCTTAATCACCATGTGCAATCTTTGGACAAGGGACATGCTCTTTAGTCGCGATCTTAGCACAAGGGACACTTCCCATTCAACTTGATTCTACTGGTTTGAAAATTTTATTATGCACGTTACCTTGGGGGTTGAGCCTACCTCTATGCATGGAATTACTTCTACTCCTGAAATTCCATCACACGTGGGATTGGTGGGATTCAATACATGATTGGTAATGTGTGCTGTTGTGGTCATTGATTTTATGGTTTTTATTTATTTTTGTTTGTATGAAAGAAAGCCTGATAGTTATTTAAGATGTATGTTTTTATACATTATAGAGCTGTCATGAGTACTACAAGATGGGTTTTATTGTTGTTCGTACAAATGCAGGCTAGCAAAAATGATTTGTTTTCGTATTGACACATAATCATCTACACAATTATAGGAATTAGATATGTATAAAAGGCGTGTGAATTTTGTAATTATATAGTTTTGTGCATTTTTGTCATGGAAATACATAAAACTGTATTTGCAACTTGATTGTCTAAACTTGTTCTTGTGAAAAATAATCTTTACGTGACATTCTTTTTGCATAGTACAAGCTTATCTTTCTCTAACTAGGTGGCATACATGCTACTTCTATGCGAGACTCTTTGTTTTATTGAAGCCTCAAAAGATGCTAATGCTTTTGTTTGTTAGTTTGACCGTGCACTCAATATATGGGAGTTTTAAATTGAAGTTTGTATTTATAATTGTATACATAATCCATATGATCTGAGTATCGTTGAGGTTTCTAAGACATATCTATGTGTCTTGCACTGCATCATGTGTCTTGCTCTCAAAGCATGGAAGTTTTAAATTGAAGTTTGTGTATAAAGTTGGACTCGGCACTGCATCGTGTGTCTTGCGCTATATAATTTTCCCGTGAATCCATATGATCTGAATATCCTTGAGGTTTCTGAGACATCTATGGTATTTTGATAATTTCCATTGAATTTACATGATTGCTTGCTTGTTTTATTGCATTCTGTATTTTTGTTTGATGTGTCATCTTTGCTTAACCTGTAATAGTGATTGGATTCTTTGTTATCTTTTTAATTTTGAAATGTTTTGAATTTTGAAGGGCAATGGTCTTATGCGGATCCTTAATGTTGCTGCCTTTGCTCTTTCTGGATATGCATCTACTGAAGGAAGAATCTGCAAGCCTTTTAATCCGCTTTTGGGGGAAACGTATGAGGCTAGCTACCCGGACAAAGGTGTCCGGTTTTTCTCTGAAAAGGTCTGGAGTTTTAGTTTTGTTTCGCTGTTTATTTATTGTATGTTAGTTATAACACTGATACAATGGAAAATAGTCCTCCTAGATACATTCCACCACTAACCCTGCAATTCCTTAAGTTTTGATAATACTGAGCATGGATAGAAAATACCTACCAAAATTATATATTTTTGTTGCGATTAGTATTGTTCAGTATCTTGATAGATTTATATCTCTGTTCTCTGCACGTCAATTTTTAAGTATTCTACCTGAGCCAGACTGAGTGAATTAATGAGCATACCAATTTTAGAATCTTGAAATTAGGAAGTTAAATATAAGAACATTGAGTGTGAAGGCTTTTAGTAATTTATTAATTAGTGAAAATCGCTTAAAATCCCTCTTTGTACTCTAGTTTTTGCAGCGTGGTAAAGCATCTGCTGAAATTCCTCTCAAATTTTAGACTGTTAAACTAATTATGCATCAATTCTTCTTTGCAAGAATTCTAAGATTGTTTGAATTATTTAGTGTTTATTATGGATACTTTCTTTTTTGGATATGATGTTGGTAAATCCCACCGCTTGATATCCGATTGGATTTTATGATATTCTGAATTTTATCATCAGCCTGTGGGGCCAGTTACACTGGAATGCAAAGCATCATACATCATATCACTCACTTTTCAAACAGATTTGAGGCTTTTATACCGAATTCTCAATTTTTAACCCATTGGTTTAATATTTGCTTTTTGATAATCTAGGAAAGATCAATGAATGGTACAAGAAATATTGCGTTAATTGGAGTGGTGTGGTTTAGATGCAATTTAAGGTCATTTTGCGATAAGAAATACCTTATACTAGCTGGATTGTTTTGTTTTGGCTGTGCTTTAAAGCATGTCCAAACGACTAAATGATTGCTTCCAAATTCACATACACATTATCACGTTCAAATGTAATATCAATGCTGCTCATTCTATTTAACATCATCAAAACAAGTCATATGAACAATTTTGAGAAATTTAAGATTATTTTATTCTCAATTAGATGCATAACAATTTTCTTACAATAATGATATTGATTACTTGGTAAAATAGTTTCAAATGATTTGAAATCAAATATGGATGTTCTTAATGATATCTTACATGTAATGGACAATTTGATTGGTGAATTAAATGAGTAAACCTTGGCTTTTAAAAGGGCTTCTTGATGAATGATTAAGGCCTCGTTTGGTTGGATTGTTGCTACCGTAAAAGTTCTTTTAGAAACAGTTGGGAAATGGAGTTTTAAAAAATATTGTTTAAATAATCTATTTGAGTAAATTCCTTTTTAAGTGCTTAGTCAAACCTGAAAGCATATATTAATTGTTTGGTTAGGTGATCAATTTTAGCGTTTTTACATAAAAAACTAGATGGCCCATATCTCAAAATTAAGTATATTTAATTTATTTTTATTAATTTTCAAAAGAACAATATATGAAGTTCTTAAAAAACAGTAATTTATAATATCATAACTTTTAGCATATACTTACGAGCCCAAAAATGAGTGATGCTGAGGCCGCCCAGTTTTCGATGGATTTGTTTATTCAAGGCAACACTTGGTTTAATATTTAGAAAATGTGCTCTTTTGTAGTTTTAGTTGCAGAAAATCACAAAAGAAGAAGCATAAAATACCAGTGAGGAAGAGGAAAGAGAAGCAGAAAAATCTAGGGCACTATGCAGTGAACAACTGAAGCAATTTCAGGTCAGGGACTTGCAGTAGCTGAGGTTTAGAAGAAAAACTGAGATGGAAGGAATTAAAGGCGACGAGAGGTGTGGAAGAGGAAAATCACAAAATACTTCTCTCGATGAGGTCGAGCTGAGTATTGTAAAGAAGCGCAAGAGAGGTCGTGCGATGTGAGGGGTTTTTGAGACTTTTTTTACAGAAATCAAATGCGAGAAGTACCAACTTGATCAGCTTTCGAATTCCTTCGTATAATGGAGTTTTTTAAAAAAACTACGTTTACTAAAGCTTTGCAGTCAAATGTATTTTAACAATTAGCTTTAGCGTATTAAATCGTAACAAGTTAATTAAGCTGTTGCCTAAATTCTCACAAAAATTTTTGAAACTTGATCCAGATTTTTATTATAGATCACAATCAATGTTTTGATCTTGACTTTAAAGATTATGTAAAGCAATAAATGTAGAAACATTAGAATAGAATAATCATTCTTCTCTTGAGAGGAGAAAAATCATCTCTACCATGCTTTTAGAAGGACATGAGCATTTATTCTTTTACATTTTATACCATTCATCAATCTCTTTGAATTACTGAGTTAAACTGGATTTCAACTTTTTAAATACTACATTGTAAAAAAGGAGTATAATTTACTTCATAGTTTAATCATTCAAAGAGTTGGATGAATGATGTAAGAGATGTGAGAGTAAATGCTCTCCTTTAAAATAATTGCAATCTAGCTCTCTCTCTCTCTCTCTCTCTCTCTCTCTCTCTCTCTCTCTTCTCTCTCTCTCTCTCTATATATATACACACACACACACACACACCTATGATGCACCGACACGGACACGTCGACACGGACACGGGACATGACATTTTTTTAAAATATAAGACACGGGTGCGGTGTGGACACGACATAATAATTTTTTAATATAATATATAAAAATTAAGATGATATTATATTAAAAATGACAAGCAATAATAAATCAATTTCATGATAACTTGTTTAGCTTATAACACAAAGATGTTTAGTACAAAATATCTAGTACAATCACAAAAATATAAGCAAAAATCATTTAGTACAAAATGAAGGTTCAACTACTCAATGGAGGGAATGATAGAATTAGATTCAGAGGTTGATCTTTGGCCTTCAATATCATCATCATTGAATATTATTGCTTCTAATTATGGTTCATCTAGAGAAAGATTTGCAACCTCCAATAATCCCATATTATCAAGGCACTCGAACCCTTCTCCAGCAACATCCCACATATTGTTATCACATGTTATATAAAGTGAGATTTTCCTTGATAGAAGATGAAGATTTGTATGCACATAAAATAAATCTTCAGCTCGTTGTGGAGTTATTTTATTTCTCTTCATTGATTGAATAAATGAGTATGTGCTCCAATTTCTCTCACAACAGGAAGAGGATGATACTTGAAGTTCTGCTTGTTTTTAAAGTTAGTAAGTTATTTGTATGGAAAGATACCGAGCATGTACCGAGCAGTACCGAACATGTACTGAGCGGTACCTAGCATGTACCTAGCGGAACCGAGCATTTACTGAGTGGTACCTAGCGATACCTAGTGGTACCGAGCATGTACCTAGCAATGCCTAGCGGTACCGAGCATGTACATTAGCTTTTTTTGGTAAGTTTCAAAAAACAACAATTAATATTTCAGGCGTCGAGAGTCAGACGTCGATTTCATTTATCAGTCACCGAGAGAGGAGATGAAAATATCTTCACTGTCAAAAAGAAATGAAAATGAGAATATTCGATGATTGGGAATTAAGTGCGGATGTTGATTTGGTGTTGTGGATAAGAAATAAGAAATTTAGTTTAAATCCCGCAAAATATACGAAATTATATTTAAAAAAATTATAAAATATTTAAGATATGCGTGTCTCCAATTTGCATTTAATATTTTTTAATCAGACATATTTTCGACGTGTCCGACACGTGTCGGAGGAGTGTTGGATGAGTGTCGTGTCGGACACGGTGTCGGACTCTGCACGCCTCTTTCAGGAGAAGTGTCGGTGCATCATAGACACACACACACAAAGAGAGAAAGATTACTTTTGTCCTACCTATTGGATAATAGATATTCTTTTCCTATATTGTTTTTTAATCTACCACATACAATGCTATTGTCAAAGATAATTTTAAGAAGTTCTAAAAAATCATTGAATGTTGAGAATTGCAATAAAATTCTAGTTTTTCAAATTCTCATAATTTGTTGCTTTGATGTGTATTCTTCAACAGCCTTAGAAGTGTAGACTATTTTTGGGGGAGAGTTTGCTTGTACAAGCATGAGGCCTGATATTCTTTTTGTGTGTTTTTATTTTTTCTTGTTGTTTTAGTTGGTTTATCTACCGGTTTGCATGCGTCATTAAGATTTTGTCAAGTATTTTGCACGTTGGATTTTCTTTTCATAGTGTGAACTTGATTTTTACTAGAGGTTTATGCTCATTTACTTTTTTCTAAAGGAATTTTAGATTTGGGTGATTTTTAAGATATTATTTAATATGAAAGAAACGTGTTTTTTCTATTTTTGAATTAATAGTAATTGATTTTTACTAAAAGAAAGAATTGGTGACGTGCGAATTAGAATTTTTGTGTTTTTTTATGTTTTATATCTTAGGTTATATTAGTATTCCTGTATCCTTACCTTTCTACATCACTTCGCACATTGAAATTTCAACCATCCATTGAGGAGATTTTGATTGATCCAATTAATGATCAGTTGATCTTAAAAGTTCTTAAAAATTTTTATATCACTTGTTTCATTGATCTTAAAGAGAATGGATAGTTTTAATTTAACTTTTGAAGAATAATAGCATCACCCTATGATTGTTTAATTTAACAAACCTGTTTGTGTATATATATATATATATATACTACTTCCCCTAGATTGCATGTTGTGACTTCCCCAATTTACATGCTGGTGTTTTTTTTTTTTTTTTCTTATTACTGGTTATACAGGTTAGTCATCACCCTATGATTGTTGCTTGCCATTGTGAGGGAACTGGGTGGAAGTTCTGGGGAGACAGTAACCTAAAGAGCAAGTTTTGGGGTCGTTCAATTCAGCTTGATCCTGTTGGCGTTTTGACTCTTGAATTTGATGATGGTGAAGTTTTCCAGTGGAGCAAGGTATTTTCATAGAAGCATGCATTCAGCTCGTTTTCTGGCTTTGAATTTTTTTTTATTATGATATATTCAGCTTCAGCAGCTGGTTTGTGAAATCTGATTTATGTAGGATTTTATCAGGTAACAACCTCCATCTATAACTTGATTCTCGGAAAGTTATATTGTGATCATTATGGTACAATGCGGATACATGGAAATAGTGATTACTCGTGTAAATTGAAGTTCAAAGAGCAATCAATAATTGATCGCAATCCTCACCAGGTGAATCACCTTTCGATGCATTTCTTGTTTTATAATCTTAAATTTATGAGTATATTATATAATTTAATATTTACTAACAAATTGCCAAACATAAAACTTAGGAATGTTAAATGATGGCTAGTGAAACTAATAAAGGAAACCTGAGAGTAGGGGATTCTAATATCAAAACAAGTAGATTGGTAGTGGCTGTCTCTACTCCCAAATTTATACCCAAAACATTCCTGTTGGGGGTGATGGGGAGTAAACACCACAATAATGAAACAAGCAAGAAAGTAAAAGCAGCAGAAAAATAAAGGACACCAGAATTTAATGTGGAAAAATTCAAAATAGGGAAAGAATCACGGAGCCACACCACACCAAAAAATTCACCATGAAAATTGGGAGAAATAAGTACATATCTCTCTTATCTCTCACTCCCTTCTTACTTCTTTTTTTACATGCACCGTTCTCACTCTTGGCTTAACTAAAGAAAGTCAAGTAAATAAACTCCAAGGGACGCAACCCTTCATAAAATGAGAAAGAAAATCGTTTAGCCGTCTTGCAGCGCTGCGGCGCTAGTTTGGGGCGTGGTGGTGTCCACTCTCTTTTTAACGATGCTGCAGCGTTCAAACACTCAGTACTGTAACGCTATATCTTAACTGTTGCGGTGCTCTTCTCTCTATCATTCAACATTGGGGCGCTTGAGTACACAGCGCCAAGGCGCTCGGGTATGCACCCGAACCCCGCACCCTTAGTGTACACGATAAGCTTTGAGGTCCGAGACAACAGAACAACCCGATTGACCAACACAATCAGATTCGACTCTTAACAATTCTGGAGGGTGTTCTATATTTTTTAGAAAAAAAAAACTTGAAGCACACATTACTTGATTGACGTGACATCTATCCTGATATGAGTATTGTGCAAAATGGTTAAGGGGATCTTTGGTTCAAGGGAAGTGATTTTTACGTGTTCTATAGTGATTCTTTCATCAATTGTCTCATGCATTACGATGGACACCTTTATTGTAGTTGTTTGGATCATGAAATTTTGCATTGGATCATCCATGTTGTAGTTGTGTGGATCATCCATTTTTTCATGTGAAAGGGGCTACTGCTGTGATGAGAAAAACCGTGTCTTCAAAAAATTCAATAAGTTTATTGGTTGACTAGATTTACCAGGAAACCCAAACCTGGATATGCATTATTTGCTTTAACGTGGCCATAATTTTATTCATAGTTTTTTAGTTGAGAATATTATTTTTCCTTGCATTGGTAACTACCCTAAACTTGATTGTTTACCAGTGAATTTGTGTATACTCATTAAAGAGGGCCAGATTGCTATCAATCAATGAATATTGTTGCATGTGATAAAATATTTCTTTTATTATTATTAGTGTTATTTTTTATATTGTTAAGCTTCTTTTATAAAGTATATGTGTATGAAAGTATACTTTATCGAGGGTGATGCATTTAGTAGAAATGCTAAAAATTACATATTTTATATATTAATTTATAAAATATAATATTATTCCCATCAGGTGCCATGCCTAATTTTTTTATAGTTGTGTTGTGTTCGTGCTCCATTGTCTGGGCTTCATAGGTTGATTGGCATTTCTATATGCTATGCTGACTAAGGTTTTGTTTGGGACAGCTTTCTTACTGCTTCATAAAACAGTTTTTTAGTATCAAAATTTTAATTTTTATATTAAAAAATTATTTTAAGAAGCAATAAGAAAGCCGCCTCAAATGAAGCCTAAAATTGTTTTTCTTAATTTCTTGTAAACAAAATATAGAGACTTTGTTTTATTTTAATTTGAAGGCTGCTTGTTTTCTTTTTGGGTTCTCAGCTTATTCTGCTTGGATTGTTTATTTTGATTAGGGCAAGCATATATAATCTTCAGACGTACAATTGCATATGCAGGTGCATGGCATAGTTCAGAATCGGAACGGTAAAACAATGGCAACATTGTTTGGCAAGTGGGATGAAAGCATACACTACGTGAATGGTGATCCCAGTGCCAAGGGAAAAGGCGCTGAAACCCGATCTCAGCCTTATCTTTTATGGAAACGCAGTAAACCACCAAAGAATCCAACCCGATACAACCTTACGCGCTTTGCAATTACACTGAATGAACTCACTCCTGGTTTGAAGGTGAGTACTAACGAGGTGTTATAAGTGTTAAAAAAGTATTAAAAGCACCAAAGCTCCATGGCTGTGTCATTTACTGTTTTAATGGTGATGATACTTAGGAACTGCTACCGCCCACTGATTCAAGGCTAAGGCCCGATCAAAGATGCTTAGAAAATGGAGAGTTTGATATGGCAAATTCAGAGAAGTTGAGATTGGAGCAGAGACAACGCCAGGTAGATTCTGAGAATTTGATTTGGTTTTCCTTTAATCAGGCAGTTAGAAAAGCTTACCAGGATAGTAGTTTTCTCTACTTGTTTCTTCTCTTTTTGGTATAGAAGATGTAGTTTTGCCTCTCAGCTGCAGAATGCTCAACATCATCAACAACAACAACAACAACAAGATCAAGCCTTTTTCCCACCATGTGGGGTTGGCTACATGAATCCTTTTTCGCCACTGTGTCCTGTTAAAAATCAAATTCTCGTTTTCTAATATTTTCTAACCAAGTTTTTTTAGGTTTACCTCTACCTTTTTAAACATAAGTCAAATCTAATATCTCAGCTTTCCTAAACGGGTCATCAGAAGGCCTCCGTTTAATGTGAACAAATCATCTAAGACAGCTCTCCCTAATCTTATCTTTCATTGGAGCTACTCCAACCTTATCTCGTATATGCTCCTTTTGTATCCTATTTCTAAGCGTAAAGCCACTCATCCACCTAAGCATCCTCATCTCTGCAACACTTAACTTAGTATTATGCATCTCTTTTAAAGGCCAACATTCGACACCATAAAGCATTGCAGGCCATAATGCTCAAGTAAAAAAAAAATTTAACAGCGGCTTTTTTATATGAAAATCATAAGACTATATATTTTGCTAAATCCCAGTATCCACCATTCTTCCAATTCCACAAACGAGATATATAAAATTTTCTTCAAAATACTTGGGATAAAGATAAAGATGATGATGAAGATGATGAGATGGATGAAAACCTTGAAACTTTTAGAAGAGAATTAACAGGCTTGCACCATATTAAAGGGTTCATTGAAACAGGATAACAATTTTTTGGACTCCTCTTCTCAGAGATCTTGCTGAAGCCTGAGAAACCTGCCATGGGTTGCATCTAATGAGTTTCTAGCTAAAGCCACATTGAGGCTTCGTTTGGGACGGCTTTCTTACCGCTTCTTAAATTTTTTACTAGAAAGCTGCTTTAAAAAACGATAAGAAAGCCGTCCCAAACGAACCCGTGTGAACTCGAACTGTGTGGTTGGCCATCGGGTCAAACTAGAGATTTTGAACTAGGAGTGGAGCTCTAAATGGAACACCTTCATAAAATAAAGCATGGATCCACCTAGTCAACATTTAGCTGCCATTCATTTATGGATTAAAATCTACATGATGCAGGCCCGAAGAATGCAGGAGAGCGGTTGGAAGCCCCGGTGGTTTGCAAAGGATCAAGGTAGCGATACCTACCGCTACATTGGCGGCTACTGGGAGGCGAGGGAGAAGGGTCAGTGGGATGAGTGTCCCGACATATTCGGCCAAATCCCCAGTGATCAGCTTGCTGATTGACCTGAATTTCTATACGAGGCTAAGCTAAGCTAAGCTCTTTGAGGTCTCCTATTCTTTGAACCCCTTTGTATTTTCTCTTATTGCTCTCCCTGGGATCTCGGCATTCCAGTTTCGATGCTCGCTATTTTCGAGCAACAGGAGAGGCGATATCTGTTAACATTGATTTCTTACATAAATAAAATGAAGTTTTTTACTTGGCTTTCATCAGTCTTTTTAAAATAGTAAGAAAGTTATCCAATAATGTATAACACTTCGTTTGTGGCGGTTTTTTTAATGCTTTCTAAAGCAATTTTTTAGTACAAAAAATTTTAGTTCAAAATATTTTTATACTGGAAGCTGTTTTAGAAAGCAGCAAAAAAATCATCCCAAATGAAACCTAAATCCAAACAATGCATGTAGAAAATAAAGATATTAAAATCGGACCTGACAATGATTAAGAAGAATAAGATGTCAATAGTTTGATGATTCAATCGGGGTCAAATCAGGGTGAACCTAATGACGTAATACATATTAATTGTTTTTAAATATTATATAATTTATGAACAATAAAGCAATCATTTGCAAATAATCAATTCTAGAAGAAGGTCAAACTGGCTGGTCGGTCGGTTCTCAATTCAACCACTTGAATTAGCCAGCTCGATTCCATTTCTAAACTCATGGTTTTGGACATTATAAATGTTTTTTTTTTTAAATTAAACAACAATTTTTTTTATTGCCAACATATTATTAGAGATTTGTTTATAATTCTTTAGTAGATATTACTTATCATCAAAGAAGCTTCCTCAAGGCATACAGCAATGCTTCAAATTATCTCATGAAACAGTACAAATATTGAAGATCCATGAGACATCCATTACACAAATATATATTTATTCACATATAATATTAGTGCTTTTATGATCTTTATTGATCATAATTAACACGACAATGATATCTATTCCTAACAAATCACAATCAACTAGACTTTGTGTAAGGCAGAGCACAGAATGAATCTTAATAAGGATAGGCTTCAGTGGCATTAATCACTTGTTTTACTGCTTTAATGAATTAATGGCATTAAATTAGCAATATTATTGATCTTTAAAACGCTTCCTTTAGGTTTCAAACTTTGAATATGCTTTAGAAAGGCCAATTAATGGAGGTAAAATATCAGCAAAAGAAAGCAACTCCATTGAGGCTGGCTTGCTTTGCCACCAGGTTTTGTGTAGTGCTGCCGAAAGGGTTCAAATTCATAAAGGTATATGCTGATAAAGCCTTGAGATATATCAAATATTTGTGGTTATTTTAGTAAGAGTATTTTAAAAAAATTTTATAATAAATAAAGGGTTTGCTTTGCAATCATATTAGAGTAAAATATGCAATTAATAACTCTAAATAGGTGAAAGTGTGTAAAATTATTATGTTGATATTCATTTTTTTTAGTTTTATGTATTTTCATATATTTTGTTTATTTCTCCATCTATGCATGTATAAATCAAATAATAATTCTTTAATCAACTAAGTTAAATTCACTTTTCCTGATATTTAACTATTATAATATGTTGAAATATAGATTTAAATAAGAAGAAAATAAGTGGCTAATTAAGATGTAATGAATTGAGATTTGGAAGAGTTTTATGAGTGTGATTAATTTCAAATTTAAGGGTTTTAAAATTAAGGTGCTTATTTGCTTGAAAAGTATATCAATAAGACTAGTCTCAGATAGGAGATAATGGAGGATGCTCAAATGGGTTATTTTCTCTTAATAGTATAGGAGACAATTTAACCAATAAGTCATCTCTTAGATGCTAGGGGTTGAATGATGTTAGGTCTCTAACTCTAAACCTATGATTGGACGTCCTGATGTTAGTTGACCTTTTATGATTCTTGTTGATTGTCACCCAACATACCAAAAATTGACAGTCGACATCTTAGCAACTAAAATATGATGAATGTCTTTTTGGTTATATGGTATCATCTCTTATAAGGAGAATGATTGAGTTAGATTGGTCTATAACTCCTAACTTCCAATATTTCTCATTGACTATTTCCTGATGCAAACCAAAGAATGACAACTAGCTTCCACCAACTACAGACATTCAATGCAAATCTTCTCGATCATATAATCTCCCTTTCTATAAGAGAAAGATTCAAATTAGATCACCTAACATCGCCCATCCGTTGATGTTCCTCATCAACTATAAGTCAAAACATTTCAAAGAGCAACATTCAATCTCCATCAACCTCTAACTTCTCAGGAAAACCTTCCCAACCATTTGATCTCCTATCTTATAATGAGAAAAATCAATTTAGACCACTTGATGTCGCCTAACCTTTGGCGTTTATCACTGCCCATCACCCAACATATATCAAATGGTAATTTCATATGTTCATTAGCCATCAATGTTCAACACAACATTTCTTGGTCGTCAGACCTCCATGTTTATAAGGAGAACAACCTATTTAAATAGCTAGCTTGATGTTGCTTGGCCTTTGATGTTTCTCATCCATAACTTCTTAGCACATAATCTAACATTCATTAATCACTTTCATCCTATGTAAATCTTTCTAGTTGCACAATCTTTTTTTTAAAGGAGAACGACTGAATCAAATTACAAAGTATAACCTAGAGCTTTCTACATTCCACATCAATTAGCTTAATGCATGCTATAAAGTGACATGATGTCCATTGTTTATTAATGTCCATGCAAGTGCTTTTGATAAGGAAGAGAGGGTCATGGTGGAGGGATGACAAGGTATGAATAATACCTCATCTATATTTATTTACTTACAACTGGTGGTTTATGGTCATCAAACTTTATGGTTAAATACAATCATACAAGAACTCCATCTTAGCCATGTTTGGTGGACAAATATGAATGGAATGAGTTGATGAAGAATGCATACAACACTATCTTATGACTATTACATTATATTGTTATAGTTACTAATTCTAAAATTTTACTTCTTTTGTAATATTGTATTTATATTAATGAAATTATTTCAATAAAGATTTCATTTAGGACAGCTTTCTTACTATTTTTTAAAATAATTTTATAGTATAAAGTTTTTTTGAACTTGAAATTTTTGTACTAAAAAAATATTTTAGAAAGCATTAAAAAAGATGTCCTAAACGAAACCTAAATTCGATATTGTAATTTAAACCTTTCTAAAATTATTTATATATAAAATCTTGCTTCTTTTAGAAGGTACTATCAACATATCTTTGTGTGCGAGAATTTTCTTTTAATCCTAAAGCAATAAACTCTCTCTTTATCATCATAAATATTTTAGCACGCAATATCATCTACTTTTATTTGAAATTTTTATTTATCCCCCTAATCAAATATTAATATATAATATTTGTTTTTGTATTTTTGTGTGTGTGTGGATAAGGATTCATAGAATACATAGAAGTTTTTTTTTTTTTTTTTAATAGAGAGTGAGAAAGAATCAGGGTGTTGTCATGGTGTTGGCTTAGTAGAACAGATCAATTTAGACTTTGTCTGTGACGGCTTTTTATTGCTTTTAAAAATAACTTTTTAGTATAAAAATTTTTTACTAAAAAATTTCTTTAAGAGGCAGTAAAAAAGCCGTCCAGCCTTAGTTTACTTTGGATACTGGACAATCTCTATCACATCAAATAATTTTTTTGCCTAGCTTTTTATAATTGCCACCAAACTTAAATTATTATTTTGTTCCCTTTTCATGTCAATTACTTGATGGTTATGTTATTAAGTGGATTCAGCCTCTACAATGCATGAACATTAATGAATCATTATCCAAAAAGAAATTCACTGTTCAGTATTTTACATTAATATGAATGTAAAATAGCTATGAGGATAGTCTTCTCATTAGATGGAGATCATATTATAAATAGTTCAATGGAACATATTACCCATAAGCATGAACCATGCACTTTTTTATGTTGCACTTAATTATGGAGTTTATCTATTGATTACTTATTTATTTTTTAAGAAATATTTCTGACCATTGCTTTATAGTTTTAAAAAAAAATTATACTAAAAAAATATTTTAAAATTTTGTGAGAAAACTATCTCAAATGAAACCTAACTAAATATATAGCAATCTCTTTTTAGCATTCAACTTTATTTTTGCTAAATAACGTGCGCATCAAGCAATCAAACACTCACTTCCTCAATCCACTTCCAATTAGTCTATTAAAATTCATTTATTTTGAAAAAAAGGAACAAATTGTTTCTTATTTTTCCCCTCCCACTTGTTGAGCTTTTATTCTGTATGGAGACCGGATGGGAGAACCGTCCGGTTAAGCACTGGGTATCCAGCGGTATCGGGTACCCGCTGGGTACCCACCAATGGGGTGACGTGAAGCATTTTTATTGGTCTCCGGACGCCCTCCGTACAGAATAATTTCCTATTGTTTAGGGGATGGCCCACCAATATATTTGGGCTAAAAGTTGTAGATCTGTTTTCTCATTTCTGCTTTATTTGAGATGAGTTTTTTCCCGCTTTTTAAAATAATTTTTTAGCACAAATTTTTTTTGAATTTTAAATTTTGTACTAAAAAGTCATATAAAACTGTCTCAAAAGAAGCCATCACATCATGCCTTTAATTAAGGGCGTGCATATGATTGAGTTAAATAATTTAATTTATTAATTAACTAAATTTATTAATTTTAATAGAACAATTTATGAAATATAACCGATCAAATTATTATTATGACCAATTTGGTTAAGTTCCGCATGAACTAAAATATATTTAAATTTAAGTGCCTTTTGTTTCCTAGCTTCACATACAAATACCAAAAGTAGGGGGGTGTCAAAATTAGTTTTTGGGTCAAATCCAACATGAAATTAACTTGAGTCCAAATAGGTTGACTCTCACCCAATCCGATTTACAAAAGGGTCAGAAATTTCAACCCGTACCCGACCCGTCGGGTTAACAGATTTGCCCGACCTAACCCGCTAATTTGGATCTGGTTGACCCAAGCGATGCGGGCGAACAGCTTGACCGCAATAGCTTGCGAGCGAGAGCGCACTAGCGTGGAGTGCGGAGGTGTGTGGGCAGTGGAATGGTTGATCCAACCCGACCCGTTTGCCAAACAGATTGATTTGAATGAGGAATTTCTTAAATTGGATTCAGATCAGATCAAATATTGATACCCATAACCAAAAGATTAAAAAAATGAATGTACATAAGATTATATGGATTGAACTTTTTCAAAATTATAAAATAATTATCTGAATTATTATGAATATTATAATATGAGTTCTTAATGTTGTCGCATAGATCTGATTGTAAAAGTAGATTCTCATAATTTTTTTTAAATTGCAAAATAATATTAATAATCCAAAAAATAAAACAGCTAAAAGTTATCTGAAATATACCCTTAATTAGACAGCCAAAAACTAAAAACCAAACACTTTACAACTACTGTAACTGCAACCCACATACCTCATTATCCTGCAACAAACATATAAAGTGAAAAACAAACGGTTCTCAAACAAGAAAAAACGTGTGAAAATAAATGTGGTGATGGATAATTATACATATTGTGTTCGATAATGAGATTATGTATGTGTAATTAGTACCTCACACGCATACATTTCTTAGGCTTGATTAAAGCCCATTGTGATCCAAGCTTGATAAACACTTAATGAATAAATCTAAAACTTGTTTAATTAATTAAAGTAAAGAGAGATATTCTACTACTCAATAAAATCGTTTTTTTGAGAATATTTAGATCAATTAAGACAAATTCATACAAACATCACATACGTAAGACTTGAACCCAAAACCTCTTAGTTGGTAGCCAAAGCTTCTTGATGTCAGAGTTGCTTAATACTATTAACTTCAGGCCAAATCAATTTTGTATGGTAGTTTGTATTGATGTATAGCAATAGTGCTTTATTGTGTTGTGTGTAGTCTAATAGGTTGCTATAATTGTCCATATATACATAAAGACAATACTCGTAAGAAAAAAAGTATTGTAAGAAAAAGATTTTAAGAGAATAATACAACAAAGGATTTTGCCCTGTTACTTGAATCTTGTATCCTGAGATTTGATTTAAGGTGGTGGTTTCTTTTCGCAATGAGTTCTTAATGTTGTTCAGCTATGGTTATCGGATTGTCAACGAGGAGTTGTCGAGCCCCCTTTTGTCTGGTGTCACTCCCAAACAATAGATCAAAGAGAGCTTCGTACTGAATAAATTTTTATACTAAAAAAATCCTTTAAAAAGTTGTCCCAAAGATTTAGGCTTCGTTTGAGACGGCCTTTTTTCTGCTTCTTGAAGCAGCTTTTTAATACAAAGTTTACTAAAAAATTGCTTCTTAAAGTATAAAGAAAGCCGTCCCAAAGAAAACCTTAATTATTTTGATATAGGAGGTTGGTTTCAAAATGTTTAGGACTACCCTATTATGATCCCCTTTTATTTGTTAAGCTGCATAAAATAATAAAAATATTGAAAGAAGAGCGCTACCCAAACTAGTATTAGAATTCAACCGTAGCAAAAATGGTTTACATACCGCTTTTATGACTAATATCATTATTTATTTGTTGGACACTTAATACCCACAAAAAATGAATTAAGTACTAAACAAATAATGATTATATATAATTAAGAAAACTAAAATATAATTAAATATTATACCGAAACACTGCTCATTAAGGCTTCGTTTGGGACGGCTTTTTTACTGCTTTCTAAAACTGAGTTTTAGTACAAAATTTTTTATTTTTGTACTAAAACTCCATTTTAGAAAGCAGTAAAAAAGCCGTCCCAAACAAAACCTAAATCAGTATTTGAATTCAAAAGTTGCACGCATTTTATTTATCAAATTAGAATAATATTGTTATTGGATTAATAAATAATGGGATTATCTATCAGTATTGATTAGATTTTATTATACGATATCCTTAAATAGAAAGGGGAGGAAGGAAGTAATCGCTATAAAAGTAGAAATCAAAAGGTTGGAGCAGAAAAGTTTGGATATCTCTACGGCTTTTGAAATTATTATGTGCGGATGCCGTTTAAAGTCCAATAAAAATGCATCATGTCACCCCCTATTTAGTACTGTGGCTCTCTATTGTTCTTACTCAGTACTGTTCGGTATCGAGCTCGGTACTGCTCAGTACCGGTACCGAGCTTGATACTGAATGACGTGGTTGCACCTGATTCGTCTCTGAATGATAAGTTATGTCCGGTATCCGCACTGAATAATCTCTCCACTATAAAAGGCTGGCTGGCTCACACATCCTTTCTCCCAAGTCCCTCAGTCCTCTCTGTTTCTCTCAAGCCAGAAATAAGGTAGCGTAATTCTCAGTCGTCAAGGGAAATGGTGAAGGCCGGAGATGATGAGGCAAGGTTAGATATCTGGAATTCAATCCAGGTTGAGAAAGAGAAGATGAAGATTGATCCTCCCCTGTTCTGGCCTCCGTTGAGAGTAATGAATCTGGAGCTCTGCACCGAGAGTCTCGGCTCTGAGACAGGCTCTGATGGCTTTTCCTCGGACGAGGAATTATACTCTTATTTCTCGCCCTTCTCTGATAAAAGAGACAGTTTTGTAGAGAAGGCAGGGGAGATGAAGCAGAGGACGAGGAAGGAGCTGACCAAGATGAACCATCACTGCTCCATTTGCCGGGATTCACAGCCACCGAGGTCATTCCCTCCTCCCCTCTCCTCCACCTTCATTCAAATGAGACCCTTGCGCTGCGATGGCCGCCTCATCCTCGAAGCTATTTCCGTTCCCTCCCTCAACTATCTCCATGCCGAGCGGCACAGCAGCCGTCTTGTGCTCTCTTTCATCAGCCAATTAGTTGAGGAAGACGAGGAGGATGAGGAGGAGAAAAGCGAGGGAGAAGAAGAAGATACCCAAGCAGTAGATGGTGGAACAGAGCCGGAGGTCAAAGTCAGCACAAAGCTGGCGCAAGCCAACGGTGTCGCGGCGGTAAAAGTTCTTTGGTCATCTCTAGCCATCAATAAATTCGCCGTCAGGGCCGCACTGGACGACGGTGATGAGTCCACGGTCGCTGCTGGAGAGGAGATATATCTGACGACGGCGGCGGCGGCGGCGATGCTGGCGGGCACCGTTGGCATGTTCATGTTTGATGGATTCCACTACCACTACATCCAACCGAAGTATCTCTGGTCGTGTGTCCCGCGGACGCCTGCGGCCGCTGAATCGAAGATGCTGTTTAGGTCGAAGAGGCGGAGCAGGGAGGAGCTGTTGCGCGATATAAGGCGATGTATATTCGAGCCGCCTTTGGCATTTGTCACCTTGTCTTGAGCTTTTCCTCGATCTTTGGATAAAAAAAAGAAAAAAATTAGTCATGTTAAGAGTGATTATTGTCTAAAAATGTTTTAACAAATATATATATATATATATATTGTTGAATCCAAACAAATCTGCTCTATGAGTGTGTCTACTAGGAACTTTTATTTGGTCCGGTGAACGCACGCTCCTCTACGTTCGGCCACCAATATTTTAGCGCCATGTAGCATGAAGAAAAAGTCGCCGACCCGACCCGTTGTTTTTGGGTTCTCGCCCGTGCGTTTCTTTTAATCCTTGCCGAGCCGAACAACATCTCATCACCTTTTGGCTATATTTCAAATACTGAGTTGTACCTAGTTTTTTCTAGCAATATCGAGCAAAAACCTAGCAATATCAAGCAAATCCATAGCAATACAGTTGTAGAAAAACTCGGTACAACTCGGTATTTGTATAGTTTTGGTCTTCACAGAGCGGTATTTCTCGTTTTTTCAAAGCAATACTGAGAAAATCTCAAACATAGCATTCCCGGGTTCCGCTCCGGGTCAAGTCGTCGGGCCGCGCGGAAAAGAGTAAGAGCACGTGGCGACATGTTTTTGACGGCCGAACGTACCTCTACGTCAGGTCAGAGGACGTAATAATTGTCCGTCTACTAGACTACTAGAGAATATGTGAGAATGGACAACGGGATAGAGAGAGTGAAAAGTGACAAGCTAAGGAAAAACTATAAAAACTTTAAAAATAAAAGCTCACTATTTAACAAAGCAAAGATTTTTAAGGTCCATTTAAAAAAATTCTTTTTCATCTATTATTTATAGAATTTTGAGAGCTACAAAAAATATTTTATAAAAATAATTACAATGCTAAACAAAATACTTGGAATACATGCCATCTTCTAGTCGGCTAAGGAAGCCAGGGCCTACTGAGCCTTGATGAATCATCTCTAAGTGAGCTCAATAGTACATGTGTTTTTTGTGATGCCAAATAGAAACAAATGAGTTAGCAAGTATGTATTGAGTATAATGAGCTGAGTGACTGGACTTCTACTTGGAATTGTGTGTGACATATGCTGAGCATTTTGTCGCCTTAGTAGAGAAAGGTGAGTGAGTTGAAGTGGCTAAGAAGGCGAGCTCAACGGTCGTTTATAGTAGGGCAAGTTGAAGGCCCTCTAGGTAGGTGCTTCCCTATAGTTGGTGTTAATTAGATGTTCATAATGAAGCTACTTGTTGTGATGGCTTCCTTCCTTATGTGGGGCTGGGTCAGCAAAGTGCTCAAATGCCCCCTAAAAGGGGTGATTTGCTTTCGTAAGCCTGAGCGAAGGGGCTAGTTCCTCTATAAAGACTTACTATATGTCAATATGTTTATTTAATTAACATGCTGATTACATGTTAAACATCTCAATAGTGTATACAAGTATATAATTCTCATGTGCGGTCATGTTATATAGTGAGTAACCAAGAAGCACCAAAGTAGACATAATGCCTATTTTATTACAGGAGCACAACACTCTAGAAGCAAGATAGTGTGACCATGTTTTCAAGTACTTTCCATGTGGTCGAGCTTATTGCTTTTTTTTTTTTTTTTTTAAGAATGATGAGCATCAAGTAAAAATAGGTGGTAATCAAATTGGGGATTTTGATAACTAACAAATTTTTTAAAGAGTTTTTCTTATGTTTTTTAAAGCAACTTTTTAGTAAAATAAATTAATGAATTTGAAACTTTTGTATCAAAAAAATTATTTTTAAAAACATTAAGAAAGCTGTCCTAAACGAAACCTTAATATAAGATGGGCTGAAGCTTGGTAAAACATTGCTTACAAGTTTTTCAATGGTATTCAATAATTTTCTTTTAAAATGCATTATTTTCTGAGTAAGGGTTGGTTCAGGATAACTCGGCCTTTTTTTTTCAGATAATATTCATAATTTTGTTTGGTCAATTATTTCTAGCTATTTTGTCACTTTTTTTCTAAACTTTTTGTTATGAAAAACTATTTTTTGTAACATGAATAGTTAACTTATTTTCCATATAATAACTTCACAGAACAAAATTTTAAAAAAATTGCAGCCATCTCAATCAGTCCTTAAATCCATCTGTTGATATATATATATGCACCTCATTTATCTTGAAAGGGGGGACCGAAGCAAGAAGAGAAGAGAAGGAAGAGAAGGAAGAAGCTCCTCCTCGACCATCGCCCGACTTCTGCCGGACCACCACTTGAGATCCTGTGCTCCGTCGGATCACCACTTAAGTTCTTCACCTCCACCGGACCACCCCCTGACGTCGTTGCTCCATCAGACCATCACTTAAGGCCCTGTGCTCCGTCGTACCACCACTTAAGGCCCTTACCTCCGCCGGACCACCGCCTGACGTTGTTGCTCCACCGGACCACCACCTAAGGCCCCGAGCTCTGCCTGACCACCACTTGAGACCCTCACCTTTGTCGGACCACCACTGGAGGCCCTTACCTCCGTCGGACCACCGCCTGACGTCATTGCTCCGCCGGACCTAAGGCCCCAAACTTCTGTCGGACCACCACTTGAGGCCCGGACTTCCATCGGACCACCGCCTGATGCCTAGAATTCTGCCGGACCACCTGAGGCTCGGACTTCTATTGGACCACCACATGAGGCCCGAACTTCTATTAGGCCACCACCTGATGTCTAGAGTTCTACTAGATTACCTCCCTACTACAACGGTCTTTCGGACCCCTATCTCCTGCCGACTATGATCTTTCTGACCTCCGTCGCCTACTATAGTCCTTCCGACCTCCGCCGCCTACTATTATCCTTCCGACCTCCATCAACAGACAACGGTTTTTCTGACCCCAGTCTCCTGCCGACTACAGTCCTTCCAAACTCTATCGCATACTATGGTCCTTCCGACCTCCATCACCAGACAATGGTCTTTCTGACCCCGGTCTCTCTTCAACTACGGTCTTTCCGACCCCTATCCTATCGACTATGATCTTGCCGACCAAGCAAACACATCTATGTTGATTATTGTAACTACCACCATATAATGCGCTCTATATGATGTATATTTATGACATCAAGTCAAGGCTTTCTCCCTAAGGAAGGACCTCATTTGTAATCGACTGCAAATACTAGTGGATTCATTCAAACTGGGTCAGACCCCGTGGTTTTCCCCCTTTTTTAGGGGTTTCCACGTAGAAACTATGGTGTCTCTTATGAATGTTACACCCTCTCTCTTATCTGATTGTGTGTTTGATCTTTGTACAATGCTAAGATGTTAAACTATACATTTATCTACTGCCGCGAATACTCCAGGACGCAACAAGCTCGATGATCCCTTGGAAGCTATGCAAATTGGATTCTTTCATAGAATTTTTTCTTAATTGCATTAGTTGCAGTCTTTAGGAGAGTTATATAAGGCTTAGGCAGGATCACAAGCATTAGCTGAACAAGCCCTATTGTAAAATATTTTCCTTATGAAGAAATATGACAACTTTTTTATAACTTGTGATAAAAAAAATTATTTCACACCAAATTAATTTAAAGAAGGGATAAAGCAAAATAGAATTGTGATAACTATTTAAAAACTAAGCCGTGAAAAAGTGCCCTTAATTTTAATAAGTGAAAATCTTTTATGCGTTAACATGTATATCACCTATATTAGAGCAAATTTTCTCTCATGTTTCTAGTAACATATAATTTTTTTATAGTTAATGCATGTCACTCATGCATATACTTTTCATGATTTGAAGAGAGCTCATTCATTGGAGGAGAAGTTATTCTATGTCGAGACCGGATGCAGAACATTGTTCGTAGACTAATTAGAATGAGCCAGCGGCACCAAGTCGTTGTACCGAGCAGTATCGAGCAATACTGAGCCGCGCAACCGAGCGAAGGAGTGACGTGGCACATTCTGATTGACCTCCGAATGACGTTTAGCGTCCACACAAAATAATTAATCTCATTGGAGGGCCATCTTTTCATGGACTACATGGACTTCTCTGCATGCCTTCTGGCATTTGTTTGGACCTATGCACACAGCTTTCCTCCCCCTTGTATCAGATCAGGGCAAGTGGAAGAGTTGGTCAAAACATAAGTCACATGACGTACTAACATAAAGTAAGTACATGACTTACTATTTTTCAATTGACATCTCTATTGGACCATGCATGTTCTGAGGTGAACCTCCATTACAAATTATATATATATATATATATGTTTTGGACGGCATAATAGTATATTGTTACTATTAATCAGGATTTTTTTTCCTTAATGTCACCTTCAAGATTTACTTTAAAGGGTTCTTAGGTTACATGTGGTTAATAATTACTACTCTTGATTAGGAGAGTATCTTTGTTTCAGGCTAGTCCGCATGCCTTGTGATGCTTTGTTTTTGGAAGAAACAATTGGATTTGGGAGAAGTTATTTTCTTTAGTTTATAGAATGTGGTCGAGAAAGATGGAAAACTTGATCAAGATTTTATAATTTCATCTTAGTCTATTTAGTTAAACTGACCTGATTAAATATTTCTTATTAATAATCATGATTTGCTTCATCCAAAGGAGCCAACTTGACTTGGGGTGAAAAACTTGTTGAAGAGGTCAATATTTAGATAACATTGGCTAATAGAAGGCTTCATTATGTCCAAGTGCTCCTTATTGCTCATGACCTATGAACAAAATCATTAAGGAACATCTTATTTTAGGTTGTATCATAATATAATATAATCAAGCTAACCACCTGGTCAGAGAGCATGTATCATTGCCTTACTTGTGTGAGATATTTGAGTGTGTTGATTACATTTATTCATTTACTATATAACATTGACTTAGCGAGCATTAATCAATTTCGAATGCATCATTCTTCTCAAGTGAAAGCAAGATGCTCATGCGGCTAGCTAAGTGCCATTTGATCTTGGATACAAGATCCAATGTTGCTTAAACCTTCTTCTCAAGCCACCTAGGCTACTACCATCGAAAAACTGCCAGAAATATTTGCCGTAGGAAATAAACCGTCGGTTTTAGTTTCCTACGTGGTTTATAACGGCGAAAAAAAATTTGCCGGAAAACCTCATGCATTACCACAAAAAATTCACCTAATTCTGCTTGAAGAAAGTTACTAGTAATAACTAATTTTTTTGTAGTGTCATGTGGTGGTTCTTTAGCTTTATAGAATGCAAGGAACAATAGTAAGCATAAATGTATTACTATGAACTCTGAAAGGATTATTATATGCTTAAAGATTAAAATGGCTCATCTTTACGAAGCTTCTGAATCCTAAGCATTTTATAGGAACTGTTGTCTGGTTCTCTTTTTTTAACCTTCAGCTTGATAATGGTTTTATGATTCCTATTCCCAAAATTCTAAGGTGGATTAAACCTTATAAAGATGAATTTAAACTCAATATTTGCATCTCTGTTTCTAATGGTGGAATTGGTCATGGTGCCTTAATTCATGAACATAAAGTTATCCTTATGTATGGTTTTGCATCTGACATTACTAACTGCAATATCATTTTCGCAAATTTGAGTGCATTCTTCATAGGCATTAAAGTTTGTTTAGAAAAAAGATTTTTTTTTAATATTTAGATTGAAACAGACTCTAAGGTGCTTGTTTCTTTAATTATTTGTAAAAAAATGTCACAATCTCGCCTCCCTTTTCTTCTTATTCAATAAAACCTTGCAGAGTCTTCGTAGTTTTAATTATATAATATCTCATATATGACGAAAGGCAATATAATGCCTGTGGTGATTTATTAGCAAAAAAAAAAAAGGACACTATGATTTCTAACACTATTTTGTTCTACAAAGATTCTCACAATAGAGTATTTAATTGTATGATTAGTCTTGATATTATGGGAATTTCTTATGTCATAAAATAATCATTTTTAGTTGATACTTTTTGGAAGATGCTTTTTTATGAAAGTGATAGGGAGTCTCAACCCAATGTGGCTATTGCTTCTATCCTTTCTTGGGAGGCTCAATTTTTGCTTCAGGTCATACTGGTGGGTTAGTTTTTGTTTGCCTGTCTATCTGAACTGGATGAAAGTTTTTTTTCTTTTTGGTTCCTAATGTTCTAATCTTCCCCTCTTTCAAATGATTGTTAGGATAGATTTGTTTTTTTTCTAATGGTTTGCTATCTTGTGAAGAATAAATTGGTCTCATTTTATGCCTTCTATTTATCTTTGATTTCCACCGGAGTGGATTTTCTCCAATGTGCTTAGATGGTGGTAGTTGGGTCCAATTTCCTTTCTATGGGCCTCAATTTTATAGTGCATTTGGTTGAGCTGAAATTAATTTTGTGACTCTATGTAACGGTGAGGCTTGCTGTTCATTATCGGATTTCTTAATGTGCCTAGTTATATTCGTCATGTGTTTTGGTTCTTTTCTGATTTGATTTTGGTCTTCTGCCCACTTGATTTGCTTCTCTTGATGTCTATAATTGTTATTGGGGCAGGTTTGGATCCTATCTGATCTAATTAATGGTTATCTGAGCTTTGGGCCCTAATATTATTTCTTTTGGCTATTTTGGGCTTCGACTTCTTGCCTTTTTTTTTCCATTTTGTTTAATTTGTAACTACTGAGGGATCTATTACTATGTAAATTTATTTTAATTTTTTATTGTAGCTCTTTGAGCTCTAGTAAAATTTATTTTTTTAAGGATCATGTGACCTTATTTTTTATGATATAAAATTTAGCATTTCCCTTAAAAAAATTTTTTTTTCTATTGGGCCGTGGGAGCATGGTCCCCCACTGGCCCATTAAGATAAAATATATAAGAATAAAGTCCACAGCACAACCATGTAAAACTTTAATCCTCTACTAGTCCATCAACAGAAATTCCACAACTGTAATAGAAATAGAGAAATAAATGCCTACAACGACAATTTTAAAGAAACTGGTTTCTCCCTGGATTTGAACTCAAATCTCGGAGTTTCAGAGAGCTCGACTATCCCCACTGAAGAGATGAGGTCCTAGTAGAGAGGATTCAGACCTGGGCTGGGGGTTCTCAACCGTGCTTGCCCACCAACCACCCAAAGCCTAGGTGAGTATTAATGTTAGAAAACTACTTATGGAACCCATTATCAGCATTTTGTAATAATCACAAGGTAACACTTTCTGAAGATAGCACAGAAATCAATGTTAGAAAACTTCTTAAGATGGGAAATGACACAACAATAATTGTTAATCAACACAAAATCTAGCATAATATATACAAAAGAGAATTTACATTTGATCAAACACTGATGGTATTATTAGCGTTCCAGAGCTCATTTGGAGTTGAAGCTCACCAAAGAGAACTCTTTCATCTACGTTTTCAGTTAAGTACATGTCCCATGAATCATCAAAAACACTCTGCATAGCTTGATTATAATCAAATATTGCTATTGAGCCATTGTCATCAGGTTCTTTGTGATGTATTGGTGAAATAATAGAGCAGTCCTCATCCATTTCTGCCACCATCTCTAAGGAAGATTTCGGTTCATGCGAGCTCGACTCCTCCTGAGGACCTAACGGCTCTTTTCTTCCCTCGCTGCCTTCGTCTTGCCTGCCACACTGAGTCATCATCGTCTTTTCCTTCTTCGCCAAAGTCCTTTCTCTTGCTCTGGCCCTCGCCTTGTCTCTGCACTCCCTGGCAACCTTAGGATTAACTGTTGTCGTCGATCTCATATTTCTAACTGCAGCAGCCTTTTTGGAAGCCTTCGACGGCGCCGGCGAACTGTGCTTGTTGTGTGAAACAGTGAAGATGTCTTCTTCGCACTCAAAAGTGGACGCTTTCCTCTTGACTGCAGCTACGTGTTCTTTTATGGCGGCTTTAGACTCGTTGAGCAGCCATTGAACAGTCTTGCTTGCCTGTTGCGAAACAAAAAAAAGTATAAATTGTTTGTTTTAAAAAAAATTTGATAATTTTTTTATAAAAACTGTAATTAAATATAAATATAAAAATATCATAAAATTTTGAAAAGCACGCGTGCGTCCTCATTGCCCCTTAAATTCATGACCCTGGAGTACTTGCCTTGTCGAACGCTAGTAGGTCCTGAAGATCAAAGAACTTGCGGGCGACATCAAGGGAAAGTCTCATCCTTCTATCTCGGGGCCCTTTCGCTGTGTCGATCTTTCTATGCCGATCTTTTCTGCTTGGTCTCGCGCGGCTGCTTAATGGCTGCAAAGATGCGTCGGAGGCTGTCTTCTCCGGTGCTGCGGCGGCTTCTACTGGAAGCGGCAGCTGTGGTGGCAGCGGAGGATTGTTTGCCGCAGCGGCGGAGGAGGAAGAGAAGATGTCATGGAGACTACCATGGCCGTTAATGGTTGGCAGCGACGAAGGATAGAAAGAGGAGTAGATATCATTATGGTGTGGAAACATCATTTGTACTAATGGATATAGTTGGTACGTAGCCAATAAATTAGAGGGTGATCTTTTTGAAATGACTCAAACGGTCATGGCTGTCCATGCACCATTCGTAGCATAGAATAGAAGATGATAAGGAGAGAAGCTACACAAGCTTTGGCTTCGTAATGGGAACAAGATGACTAACTGGCTTTTCTTCACCATTCATGCATCTTTAATATCAAAAAATAATGTAAGCATGGTGAAATAGTTTCCATGGTTAGGCTTTAGAGTGGTGGTCGGTAGAGTTTGCGGGAGCAATAGGAAGGGAAGACGATGTGGTTTGCGGGAGAGGAGTGGATAAATGGAAGTGGATTCCTTTCAATTATTATATGCATCATAGTAGCTTTGAAGACTAGCTTTCTCGTGCCACTGCCACACAGGCCTTTGGTAAATGTGTGTGTGTGAGAGAGAGAGAATGTTTGTGTGGATGCTTGGTAGTTTAATTGATTAAAATTTTGAAGTAATTATTACTATTTTTATTTATTTTTTAAATATAAGAGTCATATTCTGCCAATTTTAAAAGGAAAATTTCAAGACAAAGCATAATGAAAAAATATAAGAGTCATATTCTGCCTATTTTAAAAGAAAAAATTTTAAGACTAAGCATAATTATAATTTGTATTAAGAGCTTAAGCAAGTTTTAAAAAAATAAAATATAGGTAAAGTCGTCCGTTTAACGGGCGACTTACTAGTGTAGCTAGCATCCAGTCAGCATTCAAAAAAATTTAAAAAAGTACTGTAGTAAGTTTCCCGTTAAACAGGTGTTTTGCTACAATAAAATATTATTTTTATATTAAATTACTTCTAAAATTTTTTAATTTTTAATTTCTCACTAATAAGAACAAATAAAAATATATTATATTAACATAAGTTTGTGCATTGTTCTTGTTTAAGCTACTTCATTCCACCGCTCATCTCAGCACATTTAATATATTCTTTGGTGCTTGATTTCTCCTTATTTTCTCTTCAAACAAATATTTATTTTATATCTAATATTTCATTTGGAGAATTATCAGCATAAGAAATATATAAATTTGAAGTAAATAAATTTTATTTTAAAATATTTTAAATATTTTCATCAATTAGAGTAATTAACTTTATGAATACTAGTAAATTTATTTGATTAAAATCTTTAAAAATATTGTTAAAATTCAAAGTTAAAAAAATTTTATATTAAATATTTTTTGGACTTGCTAAGATAAACGGTGGATAAAATGCGTAAACTTATGTCAATATAACAAATTTTTATTTGTCCTTATTAGTGAGAAAATAAAAATTAAATATTTTATAAATAATTTAATATAAAAATAATATTTTACTGTAACAAGTTGCCTGTTTAACAGGCGACTTGCTACAGTAATTTTATTTTTTAAAATTTTTTTTTAAATGCTGACTAGACTAATAAGTCGTCAGTTTAACGGACGACTTGGCCCATTTTTTATTTTTTTTAAAACATGCTTAAGTTCGTAATATAATTTATAATCATGCTTAATCTTAAAATTTTTCCATTTTAAAATTGTTGGGTGCTAATTTTATCAAAAAAAAAAAGTTATCATAAAAAAATTAATCAATTGTGACTTGTAAAGAATAAACTTTGTAAACATAAAAGGAGAAATTAAAAAAAAAACTAAAATATCAACAGTAGGATTCAAAAAATCAGACCAAAAAGAGCTTAAATATAGACTTAGGTTTCGTTCGGGACGGCTTTCTTATTGCTTCTTAAAACAACTTTTTAGTAAAAAAATAATTTTTTTTACTAAAAAACTACTTTAAAGAAAGCCGTTACAAACGAAGACTTAAACCTCTTTATACTAATCTTGGACACACGCCTTCTTCTAATGACCCTATTGCCCAATAAGCTCAATCTTTCTGAAAGAGCCTCTACAATATGCTCTGTTCAACTTATGAATTTGTTACTTCCTATATTATGCTCTACATTGGATATTACTAGTGGTGAAATTATTAATATTGTATTCTACATTGTTAAGAATCAACTCTAAATAGCCTGGAGGCCTTCTCTCAAAAACCATATGGCATGACTTCCCCAATTTTTAGAAGCTTTTATGAGCATAGTGTTGTAATAACTTGGCATATATGGTGATAATGAGTTGGGATAGAGTTTTAATTCTACTTTTTTTTTTTTTGTA